CATATAATAAGGTCTTCGACATGCTTGAGTAGCGTCAGAATACAATAATACAATAATACAACAACAATAAACAACCCTTCTCCATTAGTCTCAGAGCACAGCGGATACTTCGGCTCGCTGAGTGCATATACAGAGCAGTGAGTCACTGTCGACACAGCAGCACCAGGGAGGGCAATTCACAACTGGCACTAGCTCACCTTAATAGAATCAATGTTAATGTAATTGTCAATCTTGCCATGACAATTATTCACTTGCCATGTTATCAATTATTGTTCATACAAAAAATGGTTTTAAGTATGCAATGGTACACGTCAAGAGTGGGGCTGTCCGGCTCTTTGGGCTAATGAGTAAGGTTAGCAGTGGTGGGAAACAATAGGTTGCAACATACTTAACATGAGTTTATATTCCGCCAGCGAAGGAGGCCGATGAGGTTTCATTTCCAGGGAGACAATCGATGCTTACTGTATGCAGACCGTTCATACTTACTCAGCAAGCCCCGGTGCATAATACAACCTCCACTGCAGAACATCAACAACCTTCAGCTTCCACAAACCAGAGTTAATCTCCATCCTTCCATCACTGGATGGCTTGAGGCGTCCAAACTTTAGTGTAGTGAGATTTATACGAGGTGATCAGCAGCAGCGAGAGCTGATCAATAATCTCCCTCTCATATGGTACACACACAAGTATATGGCACCGTTGACCTGTAGCGCTCCTCAGCGGCCCGTTGTTTGTCGTTGTATCGGCTCTCCATAAGCTTTCTGGCGGGCCAATGACTTTCTCCGTGGCTGCTATGGGAGGAGCTGTTAAAAGCGATCGTTAAGACTTTGTCCTCGATGCGTTTCTCACTCCCCACAGACCGGTCGTCCATTGCACCAAGATGGGATTCCAGTGATTTGAACGCCGTGAGGGGGTCTCCCCAGAGAGATGTGTGGTGGGAAGCGCGGCGTTGGTTGTTGAGCTTTAAGTGTGAGACCCGGTAACCACTGAAAATTCTGAATGAATAACAGAAATAAGTATTTCACGGTGATCCACAGCGATTTGCTAATCCATCTCGTAGTTCAACCTAATTTTGAAGACACCGTGTGCTACTCGCCCCCAGCCTGCTTTTTATGCTCAGTCAGCACACATTGGCCCACTAGATGTGACCAACCCACAATTCCCTATTACCGGTCAAGCAACCGGTGCACAACACCACATGTTATCATCATGATTTCAGTTGTTAATTTGCTCATTGCGATTTTTTGGGGGGCGACAATCAAACAATAACCATTATCTTTGTCCTCATGTACAAGAGTGGTAAATTATTCTGTTGTAATACTACTACATTTCATGAAAACATAACAGTCCTTCACACCAAACATAGGAGAGAAATAATATCGCTTCAGAATCCATTCAAAATGTCACTATACCAATCCCACAACCATTACAACCCGCCATTCCTAATTTAATGTGGTACTTTCATCGACAGGCAGCTAATCGCTGAATCCACCGTCCAGAATAAAGGATGAATAAATAAAACAGGAGACAGTACTGCCCTTTGATTGTTGCCAGTAAGTGATGAGCACATCTTGGTGGTGTTTCCAGGGCGATAAGAGAAGACCTCAAAACTCATCGGTAGTGGTGTTTGAGCTGCGGCTCACGGATTCATAATGCAAAGACGGCCAGTGAAGTGGACTACAGAGGTGGACACAGAGAGATGGAAGACTTCACAGAAATAACCTATAGTGGCCACATATGTGGCGTGAACCTGTCTGACAGCTCCAACATGTTGAGCAACCACTGCATGACTTTGAAATGAACATTTGACAAGACAAGTGCGGCGTTTTTCATCTCGGCGAGCATCAAACATCCAGCCGGTCAAGAGGGTGGAATTTTATACCGCAAAGGGTGACATGCAAAGAGAAAATGAAACAGAACGAGCAAAGCAGGGGAGGTGTGTTAAGGCGGAAAGCTCAAAGAGAAGTAACTCAATCGCTTCTTGTGAAACAAAAATCAGCCCAAGGTTGAATCTGGTCTGTGATCCAATGTAACACAGTGCAGCCACACTCGATAATAGCCTCCGCAGCAGAGAAAAGACTTTGGACAACAACAACATCAAACACAAAGTGAATCCAGAAGTTGCACACAGAAATTGGGATGTACCAGTATTGGATATTGAGTATCGATGCGTAACTGTACTCATGTACTCCTACACGTAACTACTACAGCACCCAATGTGCCATTTTAAAGGGCTATTTTAATTCAAATGCACCCATTTGTTTGAAAAAGGTTGACAACCTGTTTTGTGCAAAGGACGAACCCACAAATACTCAGAGACTCTTTCCTTTTTGAAGTATGTTTCATACAGCAAGTGAAATTAATCATTAATTCATATTATATATATTGTAGAAATGAGAAACGCGTGTTGGTTTTGCTGTTCTTAGCAATCACATGTTTCTGATCAGCATGCACAACGTGATTGTAGTCACATGTTGCAAATACAAATAAAACCACATACTCCGAATCAGTACTTCTGAAATAGGATTGACACAAAAGATCAAAGTCGTTATGATCCGTTTTGACATTGAGGTTCACCTTAAATGACGCTACTTTTCCTTCACTAATTATGTGGAGAATCTATTTTTTCCCGGCATCTTGAATCGTAATGTCATTCACAAGTATATATTAGGATCCTGTATTATTGTCCTGCGTTTGCTTGTTTCTTGAATATTTTTAGTAAAATCACACACATATGATTGTGAAATTAAGGGTTTACAGGAATATCCATCAAATACGTAAATATTGTCGTTGCTCGGGGAGTCATTTGTCTAAATGACTCATTTGGGTATTTTCTCTGCAGTGTTAATACGGTTTTGTTGAGCCAGAAGAAATCAATATATAAAGTGTTACAATGTGCCCATTTCCGCGCCAGCGAGCACACTGCGGGCTGTGAGAACAGTGTGTGTGGGCGCGCAATTGGAATCGCATGCATTCACGGTGTCCATGGCAACTAATAAAAACAACGGTGTAGAGAGTCAATTACACAATCCGAGCACAACGAATGGCAATTGCCCCCAAAAAATAAATAAATACACTGATGATTGAATGGTTAACCATCGAACTATACCACATCGTGCTGTGATTTGTAACAGTAACAATCCCAAAAGGTCAAAACATGTACACAGGTGTAGAGAAATGACAGCGCTTCCAAAGGAGTTCTGAGGCGGAGCTGTACGGCGCCGCACTGAGCGGATTCAAGTCTTGTCTCATCACGAAGGCTACGGGACAATCTGCCGCACAAAAAGTAGTTTTCTTTGCTAAAGAAAGTGAATGGACAGGGGCCAAGACTGTGTTTGCCTTTTACTGCGTTTTCTGGCTAAACACAGTAAAGACTTAATGCAAGAAGTACAGGGGTGGATTTATGATGGCGGGTTGGCACAGTTTTTAACCCTCCGGGCGACTCAACGGCATCCCGACTAAATAGATTTTTTTTTTCCTTTTTTCTCTAATGTTTAGCAACTCCACCTATCCCAAAGTAACTTTTTAACTATTCTCAATGTGGTGGCAAAGCAGGTAAATAGCTGCTGTGTAATCGATCTCTTTGTCATCAGTTTATGTAAGGTGTGTTGGCGATGCTGCACAGCTCCGAATCCGTAAGCTGAAAAAAATCTTTCTCACCCTCCCACTCCTCCTCCAGCACTCCCATCACCATTCACTGTTGACCTCCAGGGTCAACCGGGCCTACATTCCTTTGGCTGCTCTCTCCTGGGACGCCCATTCCTCCACCCCCTCGTACCTCATGCTTTACTTTTGTACTATCTTACCAAACAGCCAAACATTTGGGTTTTTTTCCCTTTCACATTTTCACTACAAGATATTTTTAAATGGCTGCATTGGGTTCTGCAGCTTCAGACAACAAGATGATATCTTGTCGCAGAAGCAAAACAAAGGCTTTTTCAAAAGGATTGAAAGAGAAAAGGCACGATTAAATCTATACTTTCTGTGCACAAATAATACATTCGCTGGAGGTTTAAAATCCAATTCAAATCCAATATCTACAATTGCAAAAAAAAGAGGCTCGAATCAGATTTCATGTGTTTGCTTCTCACAAGATGTTTGAAATAGCAGGAAGTGTAGAGGAAAGCATATGGACTCAGAGCAAGCTGACCACCACAAACCAAAAATGCATTCTGCACTCAAAACGCATACATACAATTAATTGGGAAATGGGTCGCATTTTTGGGGAAATTTGGGAAACAATGTCATAAGTGACTTGAATCAAACTGATTTTGCTGCGTTATCAACTGGTCCGGTTCAATACTAAATGCTAATATGCTCATCGTGGATCCTCAAGTGGTAACTTTTCCCATTCAGTCACTTAAGCAGTGAGTATTATACTAAATTTATAGTACAGTCTTTTTCCTTTCTCACTACTGACAGCAGTTCCACCTCGACATGTACGTGAATATGTCCTTGTACGTGCGCATGTGGTGGACTGACTACTAACCCCGCCCCGCTGGAGTTGTAAACCTGGGGGGGAAACACTCTAATCACAGTCTTTTCTTTCTCACATACATCATGTGCTCCCTGCCACGTTCTCACAGCGTTACGTAGGAATGATCTGCACTGGATTGTGTTTGTAGCACTTGAATACAGAGACAGATGCGTTTGAAGTGTCACCCAGAGAAAACTCCGCTAGAATCAATAGAAGCCAATGGGCCAAATACTGGGAACAAGGAATACCATTAGTAAGGTTCATAGTGTGAAAAATAGGATACTCGGGATAGTTTGCCAACATCTTTAAAACAATTTCCAATCCATTATTGAAAATACCAAGCACAAATCAAATGAGTAAAATAATATGATCACGGCGAAGTCCAGGAATGTATATAATATTGGAAGCATTTTTTAAAGGAACGTTGCGTCATTGTGTGAATGAGTCAGTTGATGTGTGTCCATGTTTTATTATGAGCACACCCAAAAAAAGGAGGGAGGCTGGTTCATGTGAATCGGCTCACCCTGGGTTGCCAGTTTTCATATTGCTTCTGCAGATTGGCCCCAATGGTCTCCAGGGCTTTCTGTGGACTCATCGACAGAGGATCTGGCAAAAAGAGAAGAAAAGAATAAACAGTGTTAGCACACTGCAATCACACACGACATTGCAGAACAAAACCACTGCTGTTCAATTTGGAGCGGAATACCCAGACTGAATGTCATTATTCACCATTTTTCATTGATATCAAATATTTTCCAAAATAACCAAGTAATCCAAATAATCAGGTTGTCAACATTCGAGAAAAAGACACTTGCATGATAGTTTATAATATCGGCATTAAAGGATTTCTTCTTAATTAAATCAAAAGCAGTGTTTGGACCAACAAAAAAAAGTGGTAGCTTCTTAGGTTGACACACTTTATGTGATAAGAATAGCAGAATATAAATTCAGGACAAATCATACTGCACTCGGCAGGCAGAGAGAATGTATTGGTAGAAGCTGAAATGCTGTATCCTGAAAATTAGACCACTTCTCTTATGATGACTGGGTAAAAGAACAATTACAGCAAAAACTAAAGATGTGTTTGGTGAATGAAATTAGAACGTATCATTTAGTTTATTTCATTATTGAGGTAAATGTAAATCAATCAATCTTTTATTTCAGACTCAAGCACACACACACCACTGCCAAAATATAGCCGTTGTGTTGTACCTTAAACAACATGGTGCATGGACGGGTCACCTCTGCCTTTACCACTCAAATGTCTCAAAATTGGGGTGGCAGGTCTGCACATCGTCAGCGTCCTCAACAGCCACTGGGAAAGTTGCGGAAACCAACTGTGTTCCCACTTTAATGTGCTCTCCGCACTTCAAAACGTCAAGCAGTGTCAGACGACCCACACAATGGTTTTGAGGTTCCCTTCAACAGAGATGTTACTCAGGTTTTTGGTTTTTGTTCCGTGTCATGTTGTGTGGTTCGGGTGAGGGGGGGGGGGGGGGGGGCTGCTTCATCCTTGGATGATGGAGGCCTTATGAACTGAGCTCCCAAGAGGATGACAGAAGGCTTCCAAGCTTTACAAAGTAAAAGCTAAACTTTTGCTATTAACTTTAAGTTCACACTACTCTTGCATGGTTTACCACTACCCAACGACCTTTGAACCCTGGGCTTTTCTGCTCGTGGTTAAACCTGTTATCTACGGGCCTTTAGCACAGACACTCTCATAGTCGTAACTAGGAATGCATTATTATTTTCCGGATGAGCAACTACTAGTGCTAATGGCCTGGGTTTCCTCACATGTCCACTTTACATAATGATAACCAATAATTTACGCGTTATAGGTTATAATATTGCTATATATATATAGAAAAAATATATAGAAGACATGCGTGTATGCTTCTGACTGTGTTATTGTGTTTATGTTGATGTCATTTATGGTGTTGGATGGATTTTTAATTAAATACTTATCAGCTGTTAAGTACTAGTATCAGGATGTTCAACCCTGATTGAGGTCCTTAATCCCTTTCTAATATGTATCGCTAAGTCTCAAAAACTCAATTTTAGAAGATTTACATTTGAACACGTTCTTGATAGTGTTTTAATCTACCTTCACATTACTTTTTTACTGAGCAGAGCTTGAATGCATCATAATGCAAGTCTATGTGGACTCCATCAACGTTAGGTGATTTGATTTAGCAGGAAGGTAGGTCAGGAAAGACCCCGTAGAGTCATGGACAAGTCTCAGCGTGCAAAGTAACAAGGAACAATGCAACATTTAATGTGTCCCAGCAGGGGACCGTCGTTCCTCTGCGGTTTATTTTGACTTGACATTTGTGACAAGTCAAGGACTTTATGCCTTCTTCACTTAGCGCCAAAGAGCGAACAAATGTGGTTGTTGTCAGTGTGTCTGATGTATCCGTCTGCTCCGAGCAGCCATAAATTGATAATGCACAAAGATGTATTATGCACACATGGGCAGCCGGATCTCTAATGTCGGTGCTATTAAAACAGCTATTTTTGACCTTAGTTGTGTACATTAAGTCTGTGGATTTGCATCTGTGCCACAATGTATCACTTATGCCTGAGAAAAGGCAGAAGGCAGCACAGTTCAGAATGTACATATAGTAACTGTGTGTGGGATTTAGGGATGTTTATTGGCTGAAATACAAGACTCGGTTATCTTTTTGTTACTTGGATGAGGCGTTTATATCTACATACGGTTTCCTCTCCACGGAGTACGCCATGTTCTACCGCCGTGTTTCTACATCTACAGAAGCCCTCAACGGATAAACCCAAACCAGAGCTTTAGCATCGTTAGGTTACCTGAAGGCCAACTGAGCTCTACAAACCACTTGGAAAGGGAGGGGTGAGCAGAGGGTTTAATATAATTCCATTTGCAACCTCAACCTCACAGATTTAACTTGACACTACTCCTTTATGAAGAACATACATCACCACCTCCCACACTTTGTGTTGCGGTTGAGCGCTCGTCCATTTAGCGACCATGTCGCCACGTCCGTGGGGACTCACCTATCCAGCACTCCAGTCTGGCGCAGGGGGAGGTCTTGACCACATCAGGAGGGTCCACTCCCACGTTGAGACACAACACCAGCGCTACACTCACCGTCTTCATCTGTTAGGAGAGAGGGGGGAATCGTCGATCACTTATCTGCTATAAATTCATGGATTCATTTAAAACACAACATTACATGTTCATTCAGTGACTGAGCACACGTGCTTCTCTTCAGTAAACGGTTCTCCGCTGCTGTTGGCAACCGAAGCTCTAGCGGGGTGGAGAAGGTTAAGTGTTTCGCCCTAGAGACACTCCACAGTAGTTTTTGAGAAAGGAGTTATTCTATTCCCCTCCACATTTTCTCAATCGGGTCCAAAGACCACATTATGTTTAGTACTCCATCAAGGTCCCTAACCTGCAGTCTCAAGGGTCTGTCGCCGTCGACAGACTGAGACCAGGCAAGGTAATGACCCTCGACAAAGAGCAGCTCCGGCAGGAGGCGGGGCGGAAAAAGAAATGGAACAGCCATAGATCCAAGTGTCATGTGGCATGTCCTGACACAGCCAAAGACTCACAAACACACAATCAGCTGTTATGCTAGAAAGAACTTCATCTAACACTTTCTTAGTGCACCATCCACAGCACAGAGACAACACCCAATAGCAAGCTAATCAAGGAGAATAATGAAGATTAATTCTAAAAGCTGTATTTGTCACCAGTGTCCCGTTACCTGCCCTGTGAAATATGAATTTCCAGAGAGACGTTGTCTGTGTGTACGGTGGCGTCCCCGCTTCCCCCCCCCCGCGCTTTTTATGCGGTTGTGCCCCTAACTTTGACGCGTCAAACAAAGTTGTAAATCTTCTGTAGCCGTTGGGGGGGGGGGCAGAGAGCAGCAGTCTGTCGCCTATACCGGGCCCAAGTCCCGGATGAGAAGAGAGCCTCGCTGCCAACGTGTGTCCAGCACAGACAGTTCATGCACGAGGCCGGAGAGCAAAGCTCTCCATCCACCACATTTACATCATCATCTTCATCGAAGCACAGAAGCTTTACGTTGTGGCTCTCTAGGTACAGTGAAGAAGTCGCTGGGCGATGCTTTGTTTTCCCGGGTTATCTGGGATTCTACAACGTGTACAAAAGCAGCATTAGAGGTTATTTTGGCTTCATTAGATTATCTGCTTCACGTGTGTCAACATGAAAAGTGAACCCTGTGTCCCATATACTCCCTTATAAACCATCTATAGTCATGTTCAGTATATGTTTATTTTTTAGCTCAACCACTGCCCCGCGCTGCCGCCGTGTATTGTCGTTGCCTCAGTCCTCTGTACAATAACACAACAAATTCAAAATTAGGAAAGAATGCTTGAAGTTTGATTATCTTAATACTGAGGGTCAGGACTGACAACAGGATACACACTTCGTACACCACTGCCATGTATGCAATAGGACCATGTGACCTTTTCACAGGTAGTGTTAGATGCTAGATGTGTGTAATTTAGTGCTAGAGAGCACACGTGTGTACACAGCGGGCTACGTGACATGCTGTGGCTGAGCACACCGGGCGCGGTGGTTGTGAAGGCGATTAAGGTGCCCCCCCCCTCTCCTCCCACCAGAGTAAAAGGTCAGCTCGCTAGTGGGCAAGACAAGACAAGCATCCTCACACACACACACACACACACACACACACACACACACACACACACACACACACACACACACACACACGTGTTTCCCTTCCCATTATAAGGGGGGGCACAGGTTGGGTACCCAACTAAATGCGTACAACCCTTAGCCTGGTTACTTTGAGCTAACCGCTAACTTTAACAAGGAAAATAACAAGATTTGAATCTTCAAGGGAAGGTTAATTTGCTCCAGCAGCAGTATGTGCGCCAACAAGGCGCAAGAGTCAGCACAAGCTTGAGGGATTTTAACGTTTGCTCTACTGCACAAAATAAAGCTTCAGTCTTCAAAAGGCTGTTACTAAAAAAAAAAAGAAAAAACACAAATGAAACAATTTCCAGACCCCACTATTTCACTTTCACAGCCTTGTTGTGTATACTTTTGCTGTGGTTATTGGTGTGTAGTTGTTTTACAAACATTATTTTAGATTTATACGTCTGGCTACACAAATGGCGATAATTTGTATTATATATATTTGTTTGTCAGAGCTCATGTTCCACAACAATCCAATTGAGCCAAAGAGACTCAAACGGCCTCCCCAGTCACCGCGTCCCAAACTCTGTTCGGGTTGATGGGACGAACTATAAAGATGTTGACTTGCTCCATCATTTAAAGAACTGGAGCCTTTCCTTCCAGAGTGATCTCATGCCCCGCCGCACACAGTGCAGGACCTCTGCTGCAGAAATTTCAATCATTTCTCCAGCTGTTTGGATAGCGGAGTCTGGCCCGGAGGCCATTTGATATTAAATAAAGAAAGCTGTGATGTGGATAGCATCCAGTAACTATTCCCTGTTTGAGCTCATTACATAATACACAAGTGTATGTGGCATTTGAATAAATACGTGTGCCTGTTCTCCAATAGTCTGCAGGGACTGCAAAGCATCTACACCGATCTCCTTAGACAAACCAAGACACAGACTCAAGTGGGAAGAACAAACCAGGACAGGTTTGCCCTTTAAAATGAAACCACAGACGTTAATGTTGTGGCAGGCAAAATGACAAAGAAAACCGTGGACTCTCTTGAGGAAATGCTAAACTAGTACACAGAGGAGCGGAGCACGCAGGTAAAACCTCAGTGTGTGTTTTTAAAAAAACCTGTATTTTTTACTGAAAATAAACAAATACCACAGAAATTGGTGCGTCACAAAGAGGTAGACAAACGTGTGACTTGAGGGACTCATGGCACCATTGTGGTATCATGTTCGTGCCGGGCCTGATAACTATGAAGGGACTCAAGATGGCTGGGAAAATTATCATCCTAATATAATCAACCCTGATCAAATAATTCGTTTCCCTCCAGCATCCAACACAAGCAATTTACAATCTATTTGATGTTCATTTGCATGAGAATAATAGAGATGGATGAATGGAAAGTGAGCGTGATGCAATGGGGCATCTGAGTGTGAAGGCACACAGATGTGGTCCACATTATCATACTTGATTTATCTACTTGTTTATTCCACATATCAGCTGATACACGGAGGAAATAAAAACGGTGGGAACAAAAACAAGTGGTTCATTTATCAATCAGGTTGGGAAAACAGGTTTGGCTGTGAGGTGGCAATTAGCAACAAGCATGGCGGCTTAACGGCAATGAATCTGTGCGAGTGTTCATCTTGTCTCGGTTGATATCATTGCGCATGAGTGGCGGTTTCAAGCGTAGCGTCTTCTGCCCGAGAAGGTTTAGCGAGTGGAGATTTTTGTGCCACGCAGACAATGACCGAGTCGCCAATGAGGGCTAAAAAGCATTTGATTGACGGCTAACGTAGAGGGTTTAGCAAATCTTGTTTACCTGGTCATTAGACTTGATTCCGGTTACGGAGTCAGTTGGCAAAACTACCACGGATTGTAATTTGTACCTCAGAGACGCCCTGTAAAGGTCAGGCCAAAGGTTTTGCTTATATTCATCAAGGTTTAAGTTTGAAACCGGCTTGTATTTACTTAATCTTATTTCCTCAATCTAGACTCGAGTACAGGTTGTTCTTACCGTTCTTAGTGAACAGCACAAATGCCAGTGCTCACCATTTAACAAGTGAACTCCGTTAACATTTTCTGTTTCTCTCTGCCAAGGAGCCCTGTGAACCGGTTGACTGCATGCATGTCATATCTCCCACTTACAATCTCTATCCTTTTATACAAGGTTACAAAGGGATTAAAGGAAGGGAATGCTGCCAACGTTGATATAGAGTGGGTGAAATAAGTATTGAACACGTCACCATTTCTCTCAGTAAATATATTTCCAAAGAAGCTATTGACATGAAATTTTCACCAGATGTTGGTAACAACCCAGGTAATACATACATACAGAGAAACCCAAACAAAGAAGTTCAGAAATAAAGTTACGTGTAATAATGGCAAATGACACATTTTTTTAATTGAAAACTGATATTTGAGAAAGCTGAGGAAGGAAGAAGGAGAGCAAAGTGATGGATCCCAGTGTGAACAAATACCTAGAGACCATTTTATATCCAAATCCAATTTAAAAAAAGGCAAATATTCCAGAGCACAGGGATTCACATGAATGACTTAATCTGTGTTAAGTAGAAAGAAGGTAGGGCTAGAGGAGAGACAAAGAACAATAAGACACGCGTGCGCTGTCTGCACGCATGTCTTTCTGTTGGGGTTATAATTGGTCGCCCTCCTCCTCTCATTAATAACTGCACGGGGCCCCGGGGACTTTCCGGGCTTTTCCCTCGACAACCTTTTAAGACCCCACCCAATGCCCCCAGCAGCGCTCGCTGCGTCGATCAATGGCCCCTGATTATTCCATTTGTTAGGCCCACAATAAATGGACGTTCGAACAATGGAGGAGGGCATCGATCTCCTCCACGAGTGCTGGACGGTAGCCGGCAGCAACAAGTCTGATGCTGGAGAGAAGCGGCTCACCAGAGCTCCCAAGAGATGCCCGATAGAGCCGACACGCCAAATGGCAGCAGCCACTGGGCGTCTGCCTGGACGAGCAGTTTGACCTTCAATTATACAAACGCTAGTCAGACACCGACCTGCTCCTTTCTCACGTTGTGGCACATATTAAATTACAAAAAAAAAACTCTCCAAAGCTACTTTTTAAAACTTTCTTACCATTAACTTAGGTGCTAGTTCTTGTTTGATGATCGCCAGGAAATAAAAACAATTTGCAGAGGAACAAGCGATTCGATTTCTTGAGAGAAAGTAAAAAGATATACAAACGTTAAACCCTGCATTTCCCCTGTGCTCAGCAGTACCTTTCGCATTGAGTCTAAAAAAACTAAATGAAGTGACGCATCAACAGTGACAAACTCATGTGCTAGTTCTGATCCTCGGCTACGATGAAATAAACGGCCTTAACTACGACAATGTGCACAGTCTATGAAGGAGGCAGTTTGGAGCCCTCACATTTACAGATGCACATTGATGTCATTAGTGTATTTTCTGTTTTTGCGATTATAGAAAGCTACAGTTCAGTTGAAGGTTGTCAGGCCATCGGGCTAAAAACCAGCGTAACATCGGGTCGATAAAGGTGAAAGCCTGTGCTGCAGGCATCACATCTTATCAGGTCGAGGTTCATGTTGGTTTGCTAAACCACACTGCAAATTGTATTCTATTTTTAGTTTTTTGACCTCTTTTTTTTTTTTATGACTACTTTTCTTCTATGTTTCAATCGATGTTCTTAACTGTTTAAAAACATCAAAACATAAAGCAAGATTTGCAAAGGTTTTATGTGAAGCACTTTGAGTGGCCTTGTTGTGGAAATCTGCTATACAAATAAAATTGCCTTGTCTCCTGACAGATATCTTGTTCCATGTTCACTCCCTCTGAGAATGCCTAAATCACCAAGATACATCAAACTGGTGTGTTTTCGTGATGGAAACCAAATCAATAGCATATAAAGTCGATTGCAAACCTAATCTTACTCATTCACTTCCTGTCATGGTGACTTTTTTTAATTGCACACTGGAGTCTTTATTGAGCTGTCAAAGTGATGATTAGAACCACTCCTCTGATCTTAATTTCTTTTACTGCACGTAATATTGCTGTCAGAAATAACACTGTCGCCTCTTGATAGCCGTCTAATTAACACTTAGGTAGATGTTATGTAGATTTGTCATCTGAAGTAAGCCCTGACCTTGAGTCTAATGTACAAAGCTGATAGCTATTCATTCGCTACATCTAGAAACGGTTATCGTTATTTAACTTGGCAGGAGCAGTTACACACAATAATGCTGCAAAAATAGTGGGACACACAAACACTCGTGCACAGTTGCAACAACATGTACACACATCTGAATAACTTTCATTGGCCCTACAGGGGGGAAAAAACAGACCATTTTGACCAATGGGTCACAATCTCTGAGAGCGAGTGTGTGCCCGTGTGCGTGATTGGGTTTGTAATTTGGAGTGTGCGAGTCCAGAGGAGCAAGACCTATGATTTCCCACAGTGCACGACATCATTTACAGCCCACTTGTACGCCTCGAGCCGCGCGCTTCTATCAACAGGACCGGCTGTCCGCCTACCAACTTGACATCGACATCCCCACTGTGGACAATGCTGCTGCTGCTGCTCGTCCCCTAGAATCATCCGAAGCGGTTATGTGATCATCCCCCATCAACAACGGAAAACTGAATGGACAAATCTGCAGCATCATTTCATGGGCTCTATTCTTGTGACAAAGCAGCAACCGGTGGAAGAGGCGATCCAACCAATTTTATTTTCTGGTCCTTAAAGCTCCTGCCCGTCTGTGTGGGGTGTCTGTTTTTGGATTAATATCAGTTTGCCGACAGGAAAAACACAAGGATAGCAGGATAACGCTTGAAATGTATATTGACCCAATTAAAGCAGGAACAGTTGTAAACAGATTGATCTATAAATGAGATGATGTGTGACGTTTGCAGTATATCTTGTCCAAAGCTGCTTTATTTTCCATGTCTCCTTGAGTTCATTAAATGCCATCGCTTTTCTGGCGAGCAGGAAACACACGTTGGTTCATCTGCTGCGTCCAATTTACAAAGTGACGCACAAGCGTGTGTAGTTACGCACAGCGTTCATTAAATCAAGACTGCGACAAATCAACGACACACAACGGCACACAAGCCAGACAAGTCAGTTATAACTCATCCTACATTTTCTAGTGTTTTTTCTTTTTGCTAAAAAGTGCAGAAATACAAATCAACAAAGTGGATCTGCACCCATTTCAAATTACTCACCAAAACTAATGAAAGAAAAAAAAATCTATTTCAAATTTGTCATTTTGCAGTTAAAGGCATTGTCTTCGACAGGTGTACAAATGAGGATCTTTGGCCTGATAACACTTTTAGCAATGAAAAACATTTCTCCATTGACTCCACATGACTTTGTGATGAAAAATTTCCATCTCAGCCAGCTTCTATTACCCCTTAAATCCACACTAGGGACACACTTAATGTTGTCTCATTAAACGTTTGCCAGGAGCTCAGCGCTGGCAGCCACTGTGATGTAATTCCACCGATGTCTTAACAGCAGCGAGGTGATACTTTTTTTTTGGGTGAATTTCTACAATAAATGCAAAGTTTTTGAGGGTTATGCATAACAAATGTATAATTGTCCGTCGTTATGATTTGTAGCCGCGAGGCCATGAAAGACGCAGGTCGGTGGCACTGCAGCGAATGCGACGACAGCTTTATGAGAGTTGAAACACACTGTGGCCATTCATTACACGTAGCTTTGAGGTTCCCCTGTCAGCTTGGTATGAGCAGCCTCCAGCAGAATGAAATGAATCGGCACCATAATAAAGACGAGGGTAAGCAATGATTTGCCACTGCGTGCTGGCTGTTAGAAGACTAATATTGCCTTAAAGCACAGTGTTGAGAATTAGTATTTGATTTTCTTTAGCAGATTGAAATTGTGAGAAATGGCACTACGGAAGGCCAACTAACCAATCATACTCATCGCCCTTTACCGGACACATTTAGGACCAACTTGGAGGACCTCAGTCATCCTTCAACATCCTTGGCTGCTAAGCTCTGACATAAGAATTACAAACCTCATATCTTGCACATCTGTCAGGTAAATAAGAAGCTACAGCCAGATGTTGGATGGCTTAGAATAGAGACTGAAAATAAGGCCAACCAGCTAGCTCGGCTTTATCCAAGATACCAGAAGAGTTTACAGTTAATTAGCTAACTTTAAAAGGTGCTGATGGACTCTTTTTAAGTTGTTTCCAGTCGACATGATGATCCACTGTAATCAGCTGCTAGTTGTAGCTCATCTGATTGTCAAGCTACTAACTTTTTATAAAATAAATTGATGTATGTAAATCACCCCACCCCCCCAAAAAAACGAAGACACAATGTACTTGGAAATGATTAACTAAATTCCTCTATTCCTGATTTCAACAGTTTTTCTAAGATAAGCAGTAATGTCTGGTATTTATGTAAATTAATGTTTGTTCCAACATTAACATTGTCTCCGGGGTGACATTTGAAAACAAAAATGCAGCTATTGCTCAAGGGTGCAAAAGTTATTCAAATCAACAATTCTGCATGAACTCGTTTGGTGGAGCTAAGAGACCCACAGCCTCCACAACACATCCGCCACATGAAGAATCGCTCCGTAGATAAGCAGAAACGTTACCCTGTCCTTCATCCTCCAGCTCTGGGCCAAAGCCTTGGAGCCCTCAATCTTCTCACAGTGGCGTTTCTTCATGAAGGCCAGCGGGAGTTTCCAGTCATTCATGTCGGCCTCCTCTTCCTCAGCGAGGCCCACGGCCGGAGAATGAATCAGGTCTGCGTCCATTTTCATCAGGGCCCTGCAGGAGGGGGGCGGGACTTGTTAGTAACTCAGATTTGTTAAATTGAGTTAAGTTGGTTCAACACTTGCGAATATAATAACTTCAGCCGCGGCTGATACGTCACTAAAACAATAACAGTGAAAATGGCGGATGCATTTTTCACATCACAACTTTGCCGCTGAATGTGTAAAAACTGTGTAACGCCTAAAACAGTGTGAATCAGGAAGACATTGAGCAGTATTGGTAAACCTGAAGAGTGTATGGGACAAAATTAGGGTCACTTAAATGGGATTGTGGATCCAAAATAATTCATGAGTGAAACTGTGTATCACACCGTGATGCTTTTTGTTACTGACCTTATTACATGATTGGGTTGCACTAGGAATATTGTTCAGTTATCTCATCTCAATGATGACATAGTTCATGATTAAAAATTGTAATAACATGGCAATAATAGACTAATTTAAGTGGTTTTGCAGAAACACTTCTTCCTTAATAAGGAAGATATCTCACAAAGGCTTTATACTACACATGAACAAACTTCCACACGAAGGGCTTCTGGTGCAATTGCGATGTTTCAAGCAGACAATTATCTATGAAACACTATCTAATGAACGTCTGCAGGAATTAATAAACCCTGTAATGCATGTACTCTAAAAACCTCTCTAAACAGGTAAACAACTTTTTTTTTCTCAATCCAATACTGAAAGATGGATTTTCGAAACTGCTGGAGTTTCCAGTACACGACACAAACAGTTCCTTCGAGTCAGATAACTCCGGCTATGAGTCACGTTGAAGGCTACCAGCCTGCTGCGTGGAATATAAACCACAACAACGACGACTGACACCGAACCCACGCGCATCTGGAGCGGTCCTGCGTCCAGGTTTGTTCGCGCGTGGGGCCGAAGCTGCCCAACGGGAGACGAGATATTAGTACGGGACCGGCTGTGATCCGCTGCCGACGTTAGCCCAGCTAGCTTAATGCTATCGAAGGTGGAAAAAAAGTCGCGCGGATAATTTGACAGCTGTCGCGGTCAAGTGTCAAAACTACAGGACGAACTGCTGCTATTTTTTAAAAAGAGACGCGTGAAGCGGGGGAGGGGGGGCGCAGAGGTGCGGAGTGTGGCGCTAGTTGTAGAATGAGAAGCGTGCAGATGCGTGCAGGACCTTGGTGCGGTGGAGTTATCAGCCCGAGCTGGGGAACCTCTCCGTCTGCGGACGATGACGGACACGGTGGCGCAAATGATCCTGGTCAGGAAGTTGTAGGGCAGCGTCCACAACCTGTATAGTATGTCAAACCCGTCAAACCCGAGCTGGACGGGTGCGTGCTTGCAGGGGAATCTGCGGCTCCTCTCCCCACGGCTCTTCGCTATGGGAAGGGGCTGGAGACGGGGCCCATCTTCAAGCGGACAGTCTGCCACAGCCACACGAAGCGCCGGCCGCACTCCTCGACGTCTGGGACCGCGAGGTCTTCTTCTGCAAACTGGCGAACCCGATAGCCGATTCGGTGTGATGGTTTGGCCGGAAATAACACGCAAACCCCCGAGTGTTTCGCCGCAGAGTCACTTCTTCAGCACTTCTGCAAGGGCGCAGCCATCTTGGGTTGCACCCAGAATGCACCGTTGCGGCAACGAGGCTGTCACGATACGTCACCGGCCCGCTCCTGTCACTCACCCAAACACACTTCAGCTTCACAGTATAAGCACTGAAAACTTACATGTCAACTTTTCAACAAAAGTTATGTGTATTTTTCCTATTTCTTATTTTATCATTATTATAATTATTGGTTATGTAAATACATATCCCATATGCCATTGAGTTCATGTTTAAACTTTATCCATTTGTATTTCAACCATCATGTGTCGCTACGGTCAAAGAAATCTGCCCTCAGGCCTTCAGAATCAACAGTAGCTCAAATTGAATTCAAACGCCACGGCGTTAAGATCTCCAGTGCGAGGCTACAACAGGGCTACCACGTCAGCACGTGGGCGTGTTTTGATGACCCCGTGGCGACCTCAACGAGCTAATTCATTTACTGTAGATATACAAGCAGTTTTTTTTCAACCTACGATGGCTGATGGAGGAGATCAGATCAATTTGGTTATACTTTCAAAGGCATTTTCGAGGCAGACTTTTCAACGTTGAGTTGAGGCATGTTCCTCTGGTAGGTCCTATGGCCGTCTAGTAATTCCTAAAGCTTCACTCCACATTAAAATCACCTCAAAGGAGTTGAAAATTAAAACAGAATCAATGTCAATGAAAAACATTCAGATTAAAGAATATATTTGTCTGTGTTTTATTTTTCAGGGGAGCTTGTTTGACGCTAATGTTTCCATTTTCAGTTCAGGTCTTTTTTCAATACTAAAGTTATAAAAGCAAAATGATATTAATATTGTTGTAATATTACACAGAATGTTTTCCACACTTCATCACGTCATTTTATGTTTGCTGCTAATCATAGAGCGGCATTACCATTGTTGCCAACTTAATGGAGTTTGGTTGATTTAATGGCCCAATAAAGACGTGCACAATGTCTCCCCTCTGTGTGATGGGTTGGATGCTGAGCCAGTTTATCTCATAGCTGCATGTATCAGAAAATAGCTGCGGAGCAGCTGTTCCAAAATCCCTCACTGCATGTGGGAGTGTTTTAAAAGTATCCTGTGCTTTATTTAAGACAATGATGTACCCTCCCAATGGTGACTCAGATGCACAAAACATAAGGGGCTGTAAAAAACTCTAAACTGTAAAAAAAAAGATAATACACCATTCTTTAGAGCCATTTGAATACATTTAGAATTGCCATAATTAGACTAATACAGCTGTGTAATTCCATAGTCAGAGCATTTCTGTTGCCTCCATGTAGCTGTTAAAATGGCGACGGCAGTGCAAACAACAACAGTTTTGACTGAGCCAACGGGTTTAGAGCAGAGCGCCCACTATGAGCAAACCAGTGAGTCACGTTCACACGCAGAAACATGCGCTAAAAGGCACAGACAAATCCAAAGCGCTCTTAAAATGCGTATAACCGTTTTAAAAATTGCACACATGACAATCACATTTTTCAATAAAGATTTTGTGTAGAGATTTCACACACACGGGGGTGTAGGATATTAAAAACAAATTGACGACCCGGTTCATAAAATTAATAAAAATGCATATAGTGTACACCAGAATACAGCCATGATTCTGAAACTGTATAATCCATGAAGTAATGACAATATTGTAAAACCACTGTAATTCTGCAACTGTAATACACTGAAAAAAATGATTCGGACCCCTTTTAAATATTACTTGATTTATTCAAGGTTATTTCACTGATTTGAACGTGTTATTGAATCCTACTTATCTTTTTTAATTAATCTTAACACATTCTTCCATGGTTTAGAAAAAGCTTATTTCCTTCATTTAAAAGTTACATGAAAAAAATGTGTACATTTTACAACCACATTCAACTTCCACATCTGCGCATGTGCGACCACAAACCGCCCCTGGAGGACGCGGGAATCTTTTTCACTTTTAAAGATTTGCTATATCTCCTGGCTGTCTGGATATCCAAGGCTCTACGTTTTCAGTAAGTAAACATCTTAAATTCATGGCTGTATTATATTTTCACTTTAACCGGATTTAGAAAAGTAGTTGGCTGTCTGCTGTGTGTTAATAAAATGTTAACTGAGGCTATAGCTGCTAACGTTAGCTTAATGTTGCCTACATCATTAAGGCTAGGTTAGCATTAGTAGACTCGTTTTAAGTGAAAATAATTATCTAACTGGTGCCGATGGTATCAATATAAATGCGTGATGCATCAAATGCTTTTCTTGTTGGACTTTCTCGTGAGTTTGTGGCCACTAAAAGTCGAACCTAACCAATGTCAATTGACTAGCTAACGCTAGCTGATAGCTAACGTTAGCTAACGCTAGCTGATAGCTAATGTTAGCTAACGTTAATAGCTTGTAGCTTCACCTTCCCGGCTTTCTCGGCATGTAGAAAGGTTTAACGTTATGGACCCACTTTAAGTGTATTTTTAACTTGAACCTATCAGTGCGGTAATATTAGGAGGAACAATAACTAAACTGAAATCCTATTGATAAAAGTGCGCTTGCTGCTCGCGCCAAATGGGTTGATGTTAACAGCCATTACGTGAGTCGCGCGCGGCTCTGCTCTGCTCAACTCTTTTCTGTGGTATATTTTCCCTTTGTGGTGCCTTTTCTCGGCTATACACTAATGAGCTAGCGTTAGCTTAAACATGTAGGTAGCTCTGAGAGCACGGAGGAAATGCGCTTCAATGCGGGGAAAATGTAAGCTGCAGCTGCTCTGTAGATAACAGAGGAGGACAAGCAAGGTCGATTCATGACCACTGTCCGGTTAAAAATACTTTTTAGTTGTTGGCCAAAAACTAAATGGGTAGGATAATATTGGCGTTGCCTGCCGTGCCAAAATAGTTTAGCTTCGTTTTCAGCTCTGGTTTCATTAGAAATTAACTAACTATTGTAGCCTACCCACAGTATTTTGTCTGTTAATAATTGAGAATTGATACTAATCATATATATTCTTTTTGAATAAAAAAAATTATATATGAATAATTAATGTTTAAGAAACCTTTCTGCAATCTGTTGCTCATTTCTATAGTAATATGAGGGTTTATTTAAATACAAAATGTGTTTGTTGGGATTTAATTTGAGTCATTATCTTAACCCAAGTCAGTAATGATTATTGAACATTACTTATTTTTCCTAAAATAAATACCTGAATTGTATTTTTAGGTATATTTGTATTTTTTTTGCAGTTTTTTCTATCTGATGTTGGTGTGATGTGGAACTCTTTGGGGACCTCATAAAGTTTTGGTAAGTACATTTAACAAACAAACTCTTCACAGGTATGCTGATCCCAGCAGTACTGCTCAGGATAAATATTCTGTAATGTTGTGGTATTTTTGCTCTCTATAGGGCAGTTATCGCTGAGAGCAAAGTAAATCTGCCACTGATCATATGTAGGCACTCAACAACTTTTGTGCAAATGATTTTGTTTCCTGGGACAAACAATGACTTAAATTAATTACTCATCTTTTGTTAGCTCTACAGTGCAGGAGTTTTAAGTACCACGGGTGACTGTATAAACATCATCACTATTTTTTTTTTTTTTCTTCTCTCTTTGTTGTTTGTCTAGTTTATGTGGCAGTGTAAAGACTGTGTGGCGCTGAAGTGTCTAGGCGATCAAAGATTCTTAAACATTACAAACTAAAACATAGTCATTTTGGACGTGGCCTTCATATTAAGTGTGGATATCCTGATTGGCCTGCACTTTTCCATATCGATGAGGTAAGCACATGCTAGCTATTTTCCCAATGTGCCTCTTGTCTTTGTACAACAGAATATTGCACCAATACTCTGTATTTTGTCTTTTTGTTCTTTGATAAGATACATGCTGAATTCAAACGCATTACAGCCATCCCACTGGAATCTACCTTCATGGCACGGTCGGACAGCCATTTAGCCCAATTGACATCCATCTTCCAGATGAAGGGAGGAGTTGCTGGCCAGAAACTAGCTAAACATCTGGAGATTTTGCAAGAAGTAAATATGTACACCAATCATTATGACATGTAAAATGTCATGTATATATGTGATGATGAAAACATTAAGTTATATTGTACATTTAGGTTATTACATTTTATAAATATTGTTCAGTTTATTGAAATTGTTGTACTTATTTATGTATTTCTTATTATTATTTACTAATTGTAATTCTTTAACACAGGAGACAAGTGATGTCAATCTGAAAAGGACAGCTATCCTAAAGGCTCTTTGCATCTACCTGGGTGAGGACGAGGGACAGCTCGTTTGGGAGTATATAGTAAGTCATTGGGATGGATTTGCCTGTCACATGTTATGTTTTAAGATCCTAATGTCACCCACATACGTTTTCAGAGGTTCATGTTATCATTGACAGACGGTTGAGAATATTGATATAAAATTAACAACTTGCTGCACAGTATCGTCGTTCCTATGTACATCTTTAATAACACCTCACAGATATATAGTTTTATTTAAATACATATAAAATGGGATCAGATTCATCTAAGAGATTATTATGTATGGTGGCAATGTTCATACAGTAAAGTATACGTCATTGAAATTAAATACATTTCATGAATCGTGTTCTTTTCTCCTATTCTCTTTACACATACAGGACATTGAAGGAAATGACACCCTGAGAGACCTGCAAAAGCATACCATGGGTATATATGTCATCAACAAGGAGGGTGGAGAAATGCGACATTGTGATGACATTGGAATTCTCGTTGAAGGAGTAATCATTCTCGACAACTGTGGATCTGTGGCCCGCGCTTGTGCAATGATGCTGGGAGTCATCTACGCTCTGAACATGGCTTACCCCAAAGAGCTAAGATACTATTACGAATTCCTTCAGAAAGTGCTCTTTCGAATGGATGCTGAAAAGCTTTCCCCCCAAATCCTTGGACTAAGGAACAAAATAGATGCTGGACTGTAGGAAATCTTCAGCCACTCTTGTGAACTGATCTCATTGCATTGCAGAAGAAAAGAGTCGACGTAATTAAAAAGCACCAGTCAAACCCGGGTAAACGATATATATGGCACACTGAAAAGATGTTTGTTCCATTTATTGATGTGACAGTTAGTCTC